TATTCTCATGTTTGTTTCTTAGAGTATATTTGAATGAATCATACATTGCAACTGGCTGTTTTGTCTTTTTTTTTTTTTTTGAGAGATTTTTACTATAGGGCGTGCGCTCGCCAGAAAGACAGAGACAAAGAGACAAAAAAGCGAGAAATCACCCTCACAGGGTATGGCCATGTCACAGTCCCTTCTCCTCTACTCTCTCAGGATCTTGGTCATGCATGCACACGTGCCCGGCATGAGTTTAAGCTACCAGGTCCGGGACTCAAATTGCAGTTGACTACATGGGAGTCCAGCAACATAGCCATCACTCCAACTGCTGGTGCCGCAAGTGACTACTACATCTCTTAAATCAGTGTGTTTCTCTACTCCTCCCTCCCTCTCTTAATTGTCTTACTATAGAATAAACATACCTGAAAAACTCATTCCAAAAATATGTATGAGTTAATGAGTTATTATAAAGCAATACCATTATAAATGCTATTCATGTTCAGGAATAGAAATTTTCCAGTCACCCTTGAAGACTTACTTCCTGTCAATCATGCCTTCTTTACTACCTAAATCAATCACTAACTAGAATTTTATTGTTAGATAACTTCATTTTTGTTTATAATTTTGTCACCTAAAAGTGTATCCTTAAGGGACCAGCAGTTGGCATAATGGCTATGTCACTGGACTCCCAGGTAGTCAACAGTGGTTTGAGTCCCAGACCAGGTGGCTTAAACTCATGCCGGTGCATGCGCGTGCATGCCCAGGATCCCGAGAGGATAATGGAGAAGAAGAAATTGCGGCATGGCCATCTTCCCTGGAGAGTGATTTCTTGCTTCCTGTCTCTCTGTCTCTCTCTGTCTTTCTGGCGAGCATACGCACCCTATAGCAAAAATCTCCCCCCCCCAAAAAAAGTGCATCTTTAAATGTTATAGTCCTGCCCACTTTTAAAAGAATTTAAATTTACACATAATAATTGTATGAATTTATTGTATACAACACAATGTTTTGAAGTATATATGTACATATATACATATATATCTGTGCGTGTATACACATATATAAATATATGCATATATCTGTATATATACATATATCTGTATAACTCTGTGAGCTCATGCATTTGTTAAGTAAATTTAACTATATATATATATATATTTACTTAACAAATTCACTTCCTCAGAGTTATCATTTTTGTAGTGTAAACACTTAACATCCTCTTTTTATTTTGTTTAAGAATACAAGAATATATTGTCATTATTACTACAGTCACTTCCAGGAGATGAACTTTATGAGAGATCCTTCTGTGCCTTGTACAGCTTTTATGGGTAAGAGAGTTCTTTAAAATAGGAAAAATAGAACTACCATATGATATAGCAATCTCACTATATATCTAAATATAATAAAACAATCACTATATATCTAAAGATAATAAAACAACTATGCCATCTACTTTTTAATGTCTTGTGTGTATTTCTTTTCTTTTTGGAGAGATTTTCACTGTAGGGCGCGTGCGCTCGCCAGACAGACAGAGAGAGACATAGAGACAGAAAGCGAGAAATCACCCCCCAGGGGGGATGGTCACGCCGCAATCCCTTCTCCTCCATTCTCCTCTCGGGATCTTGGGCACGCACGCACACGCGCCTGGCGTGAGTTTTAAGCCACCGGGTCCGGGACACGAACCGCGGTCGACTACGTGGGAGTCCAGCGACATAGCCATTACGCTAACTGCTGGTTCCCTTGTGTGTATTTCTTAACCTATACATTCTCACTCCTTGCCTTTCTTTTCTTATAATTAACCTGTTGAGGACCCCAGCACATGGGTCGTTCAGTGTCTTACACAGTCTGGATTCTGTTGATTACAAAGAGCTGGTGCAGGTCAATATATCCATATGTTCTATTTCCTGCACAATGGCAGCCAAATGCAAAGGCTTGATCAAACTCTGGTTTCATGAATTTGGCAAGACTGTAAGTAATACTGTGCTTTCATCATTAAAAACACGTCTGGGGGTTTCATTACATAGGTGGTCATTGATGCATAATGCATCTATTTATTAATGCTTTGGGATTGTAAAGTGGTGATATTAGATCATTTCACTTTCATTTGTTAGTAGGAATACTTATAAAAAACACACTTGTTTGTACTATTGAATTGTTTATTGGGAGTATATTTCTTTTAGAAAAACCAGGATAAATACTTGGTATTTCTCCTTACTTACCGCTTTTCAAGATAATGAATTGATTTCCTATTATCATCCAAATGTCACTAATTAAATTTCTAGAAAGATCTTTATGAGCTTACAGATTTGAACTTACTTCATGGGATTCAATCTACTGCAATTACTAACTCTATTAAAGTTCAAATTGTTAATCTTTTCCCAATAAAAACTCTTTAGGTTGGCTCCTAAGTTGTTTCATTAACAACTTAAACAATTAAGAGTCAGAATTTAAAATTTTCAGTTATGATTTTGGAATTGCCTATTTCTCCCTTGATGTCTATCAACTTTTGCTTCATTTATTTTAAGCATCATATTAGGCACATATACTTGTTTTTTAAGAAGATTCTGAATTTTTTTTTAAAGAATAATTTATCTAACTTTATTTATTCATTCATTTATTTTTAATTTGACGAGAGAGACACAGAGAGAAAGAGAAAGTGAGAAAGCAAGCCATCAGGTCTGGGACTTGAACCATGGTCGGCTATGTGGGAGTGCCCAGTGCCTTAACCACCACTCCGTCCACTGGTACCCCCAAGCACATATACTTTTATTATCTTTTTGTCTTCCTAATGGAGTGACCCTTTTATTATATTTTATTTTTATATACTGTTAATATATAAAACATATATATAATAACATAGGGTTATAATAGGGTTATAGATACATGAAAGCCCATCCTGGGAAAATAACCACAATTCAATCCCTTCTACTCCATTTTTCTCGTAAGATTTTGGGCACCTACGTGGAACCAGCAGTTGGTGTAATGGCTATGTTACTGGACTCGCACGTTGTTGACCGCGGTTCGAGTCCTTTCTGTCTCTTTGTCACTCTGTCTTTCTGGCGAGTGAGCACGCCCTATAGTAAAAACATCTCCAAAAAAAATATTGAGAGGCATGTACATACATGCTCCTGGCCTTAGTTTCAAGCTACCAGGCCCAGGACTCAAACCATGTCAACCATGTGACAGTCCAACAACATAATTTACTCTATACCTCTGCTAATACACATTGTCTTAAATTCTACTTTATCTGATATTGGTGTAGTCACTCTATCCTTACTTTATTCATCATTTATCTTCTATTTTAATCATTGTTCCCTTTTCACATTCTATTGATCTTAAAACATTGTCTATTATCTTTTTCATTATATTTAGATTCACTTTTAAGATGACTTTGTTCTACAGTCTACGTTTTTACTGAGTTATATAATTTCTGAACTTTTCTAATATTGATTTATGTTATTCTTTCACATCTCATATTTTCTTAATGTCCTTTAGTTCACTTTATTTATTTATTTTTTTTTTGAGAGATTTTTGCTATAGGGCACATGTGCTCACCAGAGAGACAGTGAGACGGAAAGCAAGAAATCCCCACACAGTTGGGTGAACACACCACAATCCCTTCTCTTCCATTCTACAGCTGGGTGAACACACCACAATTCCTTCTCCTCCATTCTCCTTTTCAGATCTTGGGCACGCACTCACACACGCTCAGTGCGAATTTGAAGCTGCTGGATCTGGGACTCAAACCATGGTCGACTACGTGAAAGTCCAGATGGCATAACAATTATGCCATCTGCTGGCCCCTCTTTAGCTCATTTTTAAAATAATAGGCTATAATTTGTCTTTCTCACTGTTTTCTTTGTCTAAAGAGATGTTATTCTGATACCTCTTCCCTCTTTTTCCTGTAACTTTGAATGGGATTTACCTTAACTCTTTTTGTCACTCAATTTTATATGAAACAAAATTTTTTTTTCTAATCTGGAAAATATCACAGAGATCCCTTTTCAAACTACACTGATAAGTTTCTGAGGTGTCCAACCTTATTCCCCTTCTTCATTTTTAGGTAGTTCTTCTCTTACCTTCCTTTTTTATTGTCCTGATCCAATTTATTTTTTATTTACTCTAGGTCTCTTCTACTCAGAGTGGCTGGCTGGTCATATCTCATTGTTGAGAGGCACTAGAACTGCTCCTATCCCTCTAGAACTTCTTACTGCAGGTGTCTGGCATTCGACTTCCGTGAGAGAGGGAAACAGTTCCAATTTCAGCTGCTATTCCAAAAGTGACCTTTCAGTGAGCACCTGTTGGCCCATTCGGGTTCTCCTGTTCGTGTGTCAGCCAAACACCACCGTACGCCCATCCCCTCACTTCCCTGAATACACGATTCCATGTGGATCTGAAGGCTGTTGATGGCTTCACTTATTTTACCAAAAGCGGTTCTTGCAGATAACTTGTCACTGAGTCATGTAAATTACGTCTGTGCATGTTTGGCTTTGCTGTATATAAAGACTTGAAGAGATGAAAAACCTAAACTACTGCCAAATGCTACATTCCCTCACTTTCATTTCTGATTAGACACTTTCCAAACCCCTCAGATGTAGAAGAGACCACTGATGGACTGTGCCCGCAAATGAGAGCAAACAAGGAAATACAAATAAATAAGAAAATACAGAACTGACTGACTGAGAAGTGGAAATTCAGCAGATGATTAACAGCGTCTGACTTTATTAAGCAATGAGTACAAGTGGACGTTTATCAAAATGTGTTTCACAGGAATTTTATAAAAAGTAGGTAGTTCTGGAATCCCAGTGAAGGTCTTTTCAGAATCTGCAGGTTGAGGCAAAGCACTGCAACCTTTTTTTTAAAAAAATAATACAAGACGAGGAAGTGGTGAGAGACTTATATAATCTTATTAAGAACAAAATCAGAAAATTCCAGATGAAAATTTTAGTTCCTACACTTAACTCAATAAATAAGTATGGTTACATTCAAGAAAATAAAATGGCTTCTAGTTTTCTTACCTTATACCAAGTGATGGTTGGTTTGACACTGGAGGGAAAATATCCATCTATGTTGGGACAAACGATCCTCTGAATTCCATATTCTAAATATATTCTGTGCACTGGGAGTTTCATGGGGGAATTGAAACAGCTATCTTTTTGAACAACTTCCAGAGGAAATGCAACTTTACTGCAATACGTGGTGTTCCTGAAAAGAGAAACATGCAATGAATTGGCAGTCTCATTTGCATTCGATTTAATACAGCGATCACATTAAAATGAACTAAGTGAAGACATACTATGTTCTGAGACTTCCTTTCCATATGCAAGTTCATGTAAGAATTAAAAGGGTTATTGAGGCATTTCCTATCGCACTTGCTATCACAAAATAAAAAATAAACATATTAACTACTATTAATGTACTGAAGTATTTATTGTTTCATTTATGGTCCTAATTGCGTGTGTGTGTGTGAATAAATTTTATACATAAAATGTTCTCAATAATAGTCAATGCTTGTAAAGCAAAAGGGAAAATGGCATAATAACTCATGTCTGATAAAGACATAATCATCTTTGGAAAAGAAATATGCTCTCAGAATCATAAAAATAAAAAAGCCTTAGCTTTTGCTCTCATAATCCTATGTCTGAGAACTTTTTCATGTAGTGAGAATGTGGAAAATGGGAGAACAGCGATAGCATAGAACTTATAATGTCCACCCAGTGCCATTTTAGCAAGAAAAACATTGGAATCAATAGAAAATCCAACAAAAGGAAGATTGTAAGAAAAAAGTCAAATATGAAGGGCAAAAAAAACATTATTTTATTTATTTATTTATTTTTTTAGAGGTTTTTGCTAGAGGGAGCATGTGCTCACTAGAAAGAGACAGAGAGAGACAGAGAGACAGAAAGCAAGAAATCCACCCCCCTCCCGGGGAGGATGGCCATGCCACAATCCCTTCTCCTCCATTCTCCTCTCTGGATCTTGGGCATGCATGCACATGCACCCGGCGTGAGTCTAAGTCACCTGGTCTGGGACTCAAACCGCGGTCGATGACATGGGAGTTCAGTGACATAGCCATTATGCTAACTGCTGGTCTCAACACATTATTTTTTTTAAAGATGATAATGGAATTCTATTTGTTATAATAGTCGCACCTACCTAGAGGGCTCTTCTTCTACCATCACCCCACATTTCACAAAGGTCTTTTATGTCATTCTCCACCCCTGCCAGGGCTCTATGTTAGGTCTCCCATTCTCTGAACACCTTGAATGTTTCCTTGGTTAAATTTAGCATAATTCAGAATTATTCAGTTTTATTATAGATATCTGTCTATACCCTCTGTTAAAGGTAAGTTGCACATAACCTCATATGTATTCTGATTATATTCTGTACCACTATTACCATATCTAAACTTTTACCAGGTGCTGAGTGACCATTTCTTAAATTAGTAATATGAATGTATAACTTTCTCTTGTAACTAGATACAGGAAAACAAGAAAAGAAAAATGTTATAATAATGAAATTTTTTTGGGGGGGGGAGAATAATAGGATAAAGATCCATCCTTTTTTGTTATTTCTACCTAAGGTACCAAATGCATGGTAGACCCTCAATTACCTTTCAGTATTTTACTGCGCCTATTCTTGCTACTAGAAAGAACATCGTACACATCCCCAAAGACAGGAGAGGTGACATGGTGGGAAGGCGGCAAGGAGGACGGCAGGCAAGATCTCCGTCTAGAAATAACAAATGGTCTATTATGTGGAAGAAAGATTCTGTAGGTGGAAGTTAGAGGAAGTAAATTTCAGTTTAATTAAGATACATTTTCTAATTTAAAACAAGTGAGAAAGGCTGGATGGTGGCACAGCAGTAACACAACACCCTGTGAGACTGACTCCCTTGGGAGAGTCGTGAGTTCACATTGGGAGACCTCTTGGACATGCTAGACATGCGGTGTGTCCCTGATCCAGGGCTGGTTGGGGCTGGGGTGGATTGTGTATAAGGACTCTACTGCAGGTACCTGTCTCTCTCTCTCTCTGCCTGTTTCTCTGTTTCTCTCACTCTTGGGAGAAAGAAATAAATGAACTACTCATGTTACACACTATAAAGATGTACAGCAATGAAATGTATTAGGTTGTTGGAAAAGTCAGGAAGCATTTTAGCACAGAAACTCATGTCATGACTTTTTGGACAACCTAATAAATAAATAAGAAAGAAATGAACTTAAAAAAAATATTTTCAAAGTGAGAAACAGTGGTTGCACTGACATTTCTAGTTCCCAAGTTTGCATAGCATTGGAATAATAATAATTGGAGCAAGAATAGGAACAATTAAATACTGAAAGATAAATAGAAATGTATGGCTTAAATATACCTTGGTCTGTAAACCCATGTAGTTAAGTTTAAGGTAATCTGATTCTAGAAATTACCCTCGGACTTTTGGAAGCTCTGTAGTGTTCCCACCAGATCATCACAATTCTAGGTTTGCTTTAGGAACATGGAAGACAAGTAAACTAAAAAGATCACAATCCAGAAGTTGACAAGTAACGTTCAAGTTATATGAAGTTAAATCTTAATAGTTATGAAGGCCTACTCCTATAATATAAAAGAACGTTAGAAAAGTTTGGTCAAGAGCTCTAGGCATGCAGTGAATAGTGAAGAAAAAAGTAATGGAGATACCGAAGCACTGGAACGCACAGTAGAGACCAGTCATCGGGAAACCACTGATGACTCCTTCCCAGGTATTTGCTAATGCTCAGTGAGGGCGTGTTAGTGGGTCAATAAGTATCAAAATGAAAAGGAGTTCAAAGAGCTGTAGCCCAATACTCTCATGAAGATGTAGATACCAGTGTTCTCAGATGTGGACAAGACTGGCCCCAAATCACCAGCTACGTAACGGTAGCGTTGGAATGATGGTAGCCAAGTTTTAGTGATTTCTCTTCTAGTGCTCCTTCCGTTATAATCTGTTTTAACTTCTAACAAGTAGTATGAGCATATAAATAATGTGCACATGAGTATTACAGGCTTCTGGGAGGCTTACAACCAGGGTAGAATCTACTTGAACACAATTAAAATTGTCAGGCGAAACCCTAGAAAAGGCCTTCAGAGGCTACATGGACTCACCAAGGCCACAGTGATGCGAAGGTTTTTCTGTGATAGGGAAGAGGCCTCTTTTTGCATAATCATAGCATAGCTAACATTTATCAAAACACAATTGTGGGGAACCAGCAGTTAGCGTAATGGCTATGTCGCTGGACTCCCACGTAGTCGACCACGGTTCGCGTTCCGGACCCCGTGGCTTAAAACCCACGCCAGGCGCGTGTGCGTGCGTGCCCAAGATCCCAAGAGGAGAATGGAGGAGAAGGGATTGCGGCGTGGCCATCCCCCCTGGGGGGTGATTTCTCGCTTTCTGTCTCTCTGTCTCTCTCTGTCTGGTGAGCGCACGCTCCCTATAGTGAAAAACCTCTCAAAATAAATAAATGAATAAATAAATAAATAAATAAATAAA